AAGGGGCCCCAGGACACACAAATAAATACACACAAATAAAAAGATTCCCCAAATGTTCACATGTTTTCGGGGCTTTTGTCTTCCCCCCACTTCCCATATTTTCCCATATTTTCCTGGGAATCGACGATGAATTGTGTCTGTGTGTTTTTTCCCCTCCTGAGAGGGGTGAGACGAGTGACGCCGCAGAGAGAAAGCGAGGGCTCGACTCCAAAGGGTACTTGGGAACATGTAAGCTCCGCCGAGGCCTCACCCGAGGGGACCTCGCGCGCGGGGGGCCGCGCGCGTGGAGCGCACACCAGAGGACCACGTGGGTGTGGTCGACGGTGCAGGAGGGACCCGCTCTGGGAACCACGCGGATCCACATATGCGGATGGATATATTTCCCGTGAGGCTTCGGAGTGGGAGACGACGACGACGACGGTCGTCATCGTCGCCGTCGTCGAGAAGCCCCCCGCTGGCCTAAACTGAAGGGGCCCTGGGACACACAAGTAAATACACACCAAATAAACTGATTCCCCCTATTTTCCCATACTTTCTTGGTTTCTGTTTTCCCCCCCACTCCCCATAGTTTCCCACATTTCCCTGGGAATCGACGATTCATTGTGTCTGTGTGTTTTTTCCCCTCCTGATAAACAGAGGCCCCGCGCAGCCCAGGGCGGTCTCAACATCTCGGGGCCGCCCCCGGCGAGGCGCCCCTCTGGGGCGTGCCGCGCCCCGGGGGGCTGACGGAGAGGAACCCGCCGCCAGGAGTGCCCGGCGGGGGCCCGCAGAGGCCCGCCGACACTCTACCTCGGGGGCCGGTCCGCGCCGCGCGGCCCAGAGCCGTGCCAGATCCCCCGCCACGGAGGGGAGGGCAGGGGGCAGGGGGCAGGGCGGAGGGAGGGACAGAGGGGTGGGAGGAGGGAGGGCCGCATCCTCGTCCACCTGTTGTTCCTCCTGCTCCTCCTCCTTCTCGTCGTCCTCCTCCTTGTTGTCCTCCTCGTCCTCCTCCTCCTCTGTCCTCCTCCTCCCCCTCGTCGTCCTCCTCCTCCTCCTCCCCCTCCTCCTCCTCCTCCTCCTCCTCCTCCTCCTCCTCCTCCTCCTCCTCCTCCTCCTCCTCCGCATCGCTTCACATCCCCCCGTGCAACTCGGCAGTGTCGACCGGTGGCGCACACCGGTCCTGGCTGGGCCAGGCCAGGGCCCGCAGGTCGGTGCCTTCGCCTTCCCGGCACCGCCCGGCCCGCGCACGCAGCATCGGCACTGTAGCGTCCATGTTGCAAAATGCGTGGCACGGGTTTGACTACCTACCAGACCACCCCAACCCAACCCGAAGACCCAAATTTCGGGTTGGGGGGGGGTACGGGTTCCATATGTGTTTTCTCGATGTTCCCCGACCCCCCCCCACTGGAAATGGAGGTCAAATTGAGGCCTTCGGGTTGGGTTGGGGTGGTTTGGTGAGTGGTGAGGGTTATGGTGTTCCGACCTGCTTTCGGCTCTGACGGCCAAGATGAGCTTCCAGCACCAAGACAGCACCGAAACTTGAGAGGGTTTTCGCGTGGTGGGCCCTGGGAGGCGATACTCGTTCGACACCGTCACGGTATTTTTCTCTGGGTGCTCGAGATTGTCTCTGGGATGTGTGGCCCTTAAGTACACTGGGCGAAACGTAAGGCAGGAAAGGGACGCTGCGCACATCTCGCGCGGAATGCCGAGCTTCGGCGGTGGACAAACCTCCCTCTAGTAAACCTCCCCTTGGTGAAAACGACCTGGGGCCGAAACCGACGGACCCGGTCCCGCAAAAATGACGGCCGCGACGCCCTCTCGCGAACCGAAAACGGCCAATTCACTAATCGACGTGTCAGGGTAGGAGGTCTATCCACCCCCGAGAGCTGCCGCTCTCGCCTCGGCGCCGCGCTGCTCTGGCCAGCGAGTCGAGCTCCAACTCGGGCGCGGCGCGCGCCTCCTTTGTGCACGCCGTTTAACGTCGACGCGCGAGCGGGCGAAAAAATGTAGCTCTCGACTCGGCGCCGCGCAGACTTCGGAGGAGGAGGAGGAGGAGGAGGGGGGAGGAGGAGGTGGTGGTGGGCGCCGACAGAGGGTCGTCCGCGGGAACGAACAACCCTAGGCTAGAAGGGGGAAGGACGCGGGAGACAGCAGGGCGCGCCTGGCGCGAACATGCTGAACTTCGCGTTCAGGGGCGGCCGCCAGCGGCGGCAGCGGGCGAAGGCAGCAGCGCCGACGCCGAAGAACAAAACGAGTTAATCAGAGTCATCCGAACCCCCCCCCCGCCCGCTCCGCCGCTCCAACCGCCCCACCCCCTTACCATCGGTAGTGGTGGCCTTCTCAGGACGAGAGGCGCAGGCCACCGTAGATGACATGGAGGAAGAAGCCTGAGGGGAGGACAAAGGCGAGGAGGGGACAGGGCCCTGGGCACAGGAGAGGACCTCGCCCGTTGACGGGCGCAGGCCTCTGGAGGCCTTGGAGAGCTTCCGCAACTGTTTGTCCCTGGTCGATGGAACCTTGGAAGCGCCTTGACACTTGGCCATCAGGGCACGAGGGACACCATGCGGAAGCAACACAAAGCCAGCACAGGTGGAACAAATCATCACACGATCATACTTCTCGATCGTGTGACCTCTGGACTCAAAATCACAGATGGCCGCCTCTCTCTCGTTTCCCGTGGGATTTCCAGGGGGAGGAAGGGGCGGCAGCAGACCCTCAGCCACCAGGGCCTGGTCCGCTTCGACAACAGCAGCGGCCTTCACAGGCCGCGCTAGATTTCGCCCCCGCAACCACTCCTGCCCCTTGAGGGCCGAAAGGGCCGAGGGTCGGCAAAACTTGGAGGGGCCGTTACACAGATGCGCCAATGTGCTGCAGGTCCATGCCCCGACGAAACATGAGATGCATCTCACCTCTCCTGAGTCAGGGTCGAGGAAAAAGGAATGACCATGCAAGCTGAGCTGCGGCGCAGGCTGCGGTCGACAAACACTCGACGGCGGGGGCAGGGAAGTCCACCGTCTGAGTCGGGCAAGCCTGGCCGCAGCCCAGGAAATATACTCAATGGTAGCACGATGAAACTTGAGTTCGCCTGCGACAGCCTCTGCCGTCGTCCTAGCTACCATGGCCCTAGTCGAAGCTAGCTTGGCAAACAGGTCGGCCCACGCATTCCCGATCCAGGTTATCGGGTCCAGTTCTCGCTCCAGGACTTCTTCAAGAGAGAGGTGGGCGGGGGTCCACACGAAGTGAGGGGGGGGGGGTCCTGGACAGGCCTACGCTGCGCCAGCTCAAAGACACTCCTCCAGATGGCAGCGTACCTATTCATTCCGCGCGCCAATTCAGGGTCCCAAGGCAGGCCTTCCTGGACCAGAGAAAGCAAATCCGAAACAAAAACCTCCATGCTGGGATTACGCCTCATGGCGTGCAGGAGCGCAGTTCTCTCCGCTCTGCCCACGGTCTGGACGGCACCCTCCAGGGATCCAAACACCGCGCGGACAGGGAGGAGCGCATCGTTGAGCTGAACTATGGCCCACCCCGCTCGCCTGACTTCAGGCACGGCGGGGTGCTGTGCGCTTCCATCCCCGAAAGTAACAGGCCCCCACTCACCACCAACGTCACCCCACTCCCAAACCACCGAAGTTTCAGGCGGGGATGGAAGCTGGATCGAGAGCCTCGGAAAACCATAACTAAAATAAAGTCTGTCAAACTCAGGATCGAGCGGGGGGCGGTGTCCAAGAGCCCGCAGCGCATCCCGATGAGACGCGTGTCTCTCGCACAAGACCTCAACACCAGAGGCCTCCTCGCTCTCATCGGGCTGCAACAAGCTGGGACATCCGTGCCAAACATGCCCGAAGGATCCGTCATCTGACTGACAGGCTGCACAGTGCACGTTCACATCTTTTCCCCATGCAGCAAGGCGGGCAGCAGTGGGGTACCGATCAGCCCACAGTGCCCTCAGCGCTCCAAGCGGCGCCTGCCTCAAGTCACGGAGCCCAAGCCGAAGAGCTCGTTCCCAGACATCGTGAGACGCCTCCTGCACAGGCAAGTGATAGACCAGCCGCTGCACCTGCCACCGCTTGATCGAATCCTCCAGATAAACCTGCATGTCGGCTGGTGCCACTCGCAGGAGATCAAAATCCTCGCCTTGGTCGCTACGCCAGTGATGAGGTCCAAGAAATGTCCAGCCAATTCTGTTAAGCGTGAGCCATGCTGCACTCAGTGGGCCGCGCACCACCGCCCAGGTCAGCCCTTTGTTGTTAACACGATCTGCCAAGCTCAACCATGCATGTCGCAGCGCACTGAGGGGCACCCGAGCATCCCAGATAAAGCAATGCAGCCGACACAACAGCGCCGTCGTAGCATCAAACATCGGGTCGTAGCGCACCTGCCACTGACAGTACAGATAAGCCGTCTTGTGCGCTCTCGGCGGTGCCCCAACCATGGTAGCAGCAACTGACCTAGCCGTGACAAGAGCTGAGTCAGTCATGCCCGACACGCCAGCACCATGAGCCACCGCTGGTTGTGCTCCTGCCCGCCAGATCACTGAGTTCTTACGACCAGCCGCTTGGCGAAAAAGGTGGGGCCGATGACGTCGCTTCTGGAGATCACGAAAGCGGGCCTTTTCTTGCAAGCGAATAGGGCGAATACCGAAAGTCTCGTGGCCAAGGTTACGCATCCACGGCCGATGTGCAAACTTAGAGCCTCTCAAGATCTGACGAGAAGCCACCGTCGCGGCAACCAGCCCCGACTTCTTGTCATTAAAGCAAGAACCAAGCACTCTAGAGTCCTCCTGAAATATTCGCACCGCCAGATCAAGCGCAAGTATGCCCTTCGGGTCTGGCCCAACGTACTGGACCGAAACATCATCAACAAGGGCCCGTGGCACAACCCCAGCATAGTTGTCACGCAAGCGTAGGATGGCCCGTAACGTGAGACATTCCAGCATACAGACGGCATGCGTGCATCCAGCAAGAATGCCTTGGTCCACCTGCACCATGTCGGAGAAAGTGCCCTACCCTTTGAGGCTCCTCGGCTGGGCGTACATCTTGAGCAACATGTACAGCATCCTCGGTGGATAATCAAGCAAGCAGCCCTCGCGAAACAGCTGCGACGGCCTCACCATGTCGAACGCCTTCGTGAGATCTAGTAGGACCGTCGCACTGAACTGGCCCCTCAGCACCGCCACCTCCGAGTCCAAGTTGTGGCTAAACGCGCTGTCCGACGAAGTGTAGCGGGTCCTGTTGCCCCACACATTGTCCGTGCGATGCTGCTGCTCCCACTGCCGAGATATGCCACGTCGGGCCCTGCCCCAAATGCGCTGGAAAGTGTGGACCACCGCAATCAGGCGGTGTCCCTCGCCAGCCTTGGGAATACGACACATCATCGACCAGAGCCGATCTGCAGGCCATGCGAGCAGCTGCTCGCACCTTGCAAAGAAACCGCCCAGCATCTCGAGCGACTCATCTGACAGGTGCCACAGCAAGCGTGGGTGTAATGCACAGGGCCCCGTCGAGGTCTTTCTAGGGAAAGTCAGCATCACCTTCCTCAAAGTGTCGGCGTCAAGCTTCGGAAGACATGGCCACTCTGAGGCCTCAGGAGGAGGCTGGACTGGCAGACATCCATGATGGGTCCATACATCAACCCAAGTTCTCATGCCCCGATTCGCCAGAGCCTGCGGCTGAGCATCTGCGGGGCGCCGTTGAAATGCAACAACCTGCTCCAGCGGCCGCACCTTGGTGACACGGTGAGCGATAGAGGCCCCTGCCTGAAAAGCCTTACGCTGGAACTGCACCCAAGCTCGGTAGGATTCCCGCTGGTCCCCCTTGCGCAGCCGAGTGGCCTCATTCCCGACCGAGCGCAGGAGGTCCTCGAAGCCAGGAGCAACCAAGACCTGCAGCCCAGATTTCAAGAAGGCCTGCACATTCTCAGGCATCTGGTGAAGCACAACTTGGCTGCGCATGATATTACGAAGATACCCACCAACTTCACTGGAAGCCTGGAGCAGGACTGCACACTGGGGCGGATCAATATCACAAAGAACATGGGCCATCTGAAGCCTGGTGACCAGCGTACGAAGTCTGTGGCGCTCCTTCTGAATGTGCATAAACCATCGAAGCACCACTTTCCAGGCCAAGGTCTGCGAGCGCTTGTAGGTGCGCTTGAGGGGTGGCTGCCAGGCAACCTTCCGCCACGTGAAGGAGGTCGCCCCCGCTCGGCCTGAGTAGCGCAGCGCGGCAGACCCCACATGGTCGTAGCGGTTGGTGAGCTCCCTTTCGACCCCAATCATCAAGTCGTCCATGCACGCAGCCAGACCTTCCGCGTCCTCGGCCTCCTCGAAGCTGGTCGCCTCCCAGTAGTAAGGGAACCTCGAACATCCAGTAGGAGCCTGTAGTGGTAGTTCCTTAGGCAAATTCGGCACGAGCCTCCATAGCGGGTAGTCCTGTCCAAGGACTTGCAGGTGCACTGGACAATGAGGGTATAACGTCACCTCTTCATCAACCCGAACGTGGGAGTCTACCCGTGCTGCCATGTTTACTAAAACCAAAAAATAATCAAGTACAGTCCCAGGATTGGCCTGCCTGCACGTCGGCACCTTTGGGCAGAAGGGCATTGCCGAAGCTGCCGTAGCCCAGCTGGACGAGAAAAGCTCAGCGGGCTGGTTATCCCAATCCCCACCAATGAGCCAGTCCACCCCCTCGCTGTTGAGCTTCGCGAGAGCCTTGACCGTCTCCCACAGGTAGGCCGTGTTGACTGGGCCCATGCCATCCTTCGTGTCGAGGTAGATGCTGCCAGCTGTGAAACCTCCAGGTACACCCCCGTGAATGTGCGCAAAAAGACACCTTCCAGTGACAACCTCCCTCTCTGCCAAGATAGGGGCGGTGATCATCACGTCCGTGCGAACGAGGGCCGCTACCCCTGCAGTCGTGCCCGTCGCCGTGGCAGTACTCGGCGTCGCAGCTGCCCATATCCCATGCCAGCCAATATCACGAGCCTGAGATTGCGCCTGCTGGATGCGCTCGGGCAGCAAGTGGTGCTCTTGAACAAGCAGCACCTTCACGTCGTCGCCAATGCCTGGCATGCACTCGAAGAGGGAGCCATGCGAGCTGACATTGACCGTCACCACCTGACCCTTGAACGAGGGCAGGCTGCGCTTGGCCCTGTCGTCGGCCTGGCGCCGTGCCTTCCCAGTCGGATCTGATGATACATTAGGCTCCGCATGGTTCGACCCTATGCCACTTAAGGTAGGATGTGAGCACTGGGACCCGTCTGGCCCCTGCGACCCCTCGAACGGCCCAGGTGGGGCAGCGGTGGCCTGAGCCGGCAAAACCGAACGGCTCCCCCGAATGACCTCCCGCCGCTCAGCGTCAGCCTGAGGCGAGCAAGGGCCCAGGATCCCAGGGAGGGCCTGCCCAGACGCGTTCTGACGGGGGTCGTGGCGACTCGGGCTGGATTCCAGCAAGGCATGTGGCCTGGATCCTATATTAGAGATCCCAGTGTTGGTCGCACTCATCGGGGCAGTCGTAATATCGACCAGCGTAGCCGCTGACGACCCACTCCAAGAACTGGTAGGTGCAGTCGTAGGCGTAGCTGAAGTGGAAGCTGTCGGCCTGAAAGACAGCACCACCAGCTGCGCGATGACCGAGTCCAACGAATCGCCCACTTGGTTATCATCTGCATTAGGTCGTCGAGGACGTGGTGCATTCCTGACATCTGGGGCCTGGTCGCCCAGCACTCGTCGGAACATCGCTCGGACCTCGTCGAGAGCTCTCCAGTGTCTGTGCTCAAGCCTTTGAGCGGCTCCAGGCTCTCGCCCAGCGAGGCGCATGAACCAGGCCTCTCGGCGTCCCTCAGATTGCCGCCATGCCGTAGAACATAGCTCATCAAATATATCTTGAAGGCTCCTTCCAGGAAGCCAAGTCAAGAGCAACTGACGTAAAGGAATATTGGCATCACGTCCTATCAAGGCGGATAAGAAGGCAGTACACCATTCAACCCACGGGCGCCCATCCCGTGGGATCTGTGTGTGGCTGTCGAACCAGAGAGCCGCCCAGTCACGTAGATTCTGGCGCATGTCCTGGTAGTCCTGCACTGGGTCAGGAGGTGCAGGCATCCGTGCTGGATGGAGGTGTCCTGGACTGCTGCCCCACGTCGCGCCACCGACTGCGAGCTCGCCATGAGAGAGAGGAGTCCAGCAAAACCCTGCGCCCCCACCCCCACTCGCTGAGTCCCCCGCCTCCTGTGGAAGGGGTGCACTGGGGGATGGTGGACGCAGGCGCGACTGCGAACCTGAGCTGCCACAGGCAACCCAGGATTTGCGATCTAACGCCTGATGCCCTCCGTCATCGGCATGCACAGGAACAAAAGCATCTGGCAGCGGACCAGGATCCGCACGTAGGCGCTCACAGCCACCATCTGCCTCAGTAGGTCCCCCGAGCGCTCTAGTATCCTGCTCGTGGATCCCGAAGAAATCATCCTGGTCGAAGCCAGGGTCGGCACACAACTGCTCGAAGTCGTCGCCGAAATCGAAGATATGGGAGTCTGCCGCCATTGCGCTGATAGTAGCAATCATGAGCACAGGCCTAAGCCGCAACCTTGGGCTTCTTGGCCAGCAGCTTCTGGCACGAGTCCAGCTGGCGCTTGGCCTGGGCACGCAGCTCCGCCTCATCAGCGCTGGCTTCCATCCCAGAGTCAGCAACAAATGTCCGAAGATCTTCCAGGTCCATATCTTCAGGTACAGGCATGTCAAAGCACTCGGGCCGAACAGGCTGCTCAGCTTGCTGCTGTGACGTATCGGGAGGTCGCTGCTGCTGTTGTGGCTGCTGCTGTTGCGCGCGAAGGTGCTCTTGCTGTTCAGTTCGCTGCTTCCGAACTTGCTCAAGCCAGGGCTCCACGAACTGGGCGCAACTGGCGGCCAACTGCGCACCGCCACCGAGGGACTGAACCAGGCTCTGCAGTTGCTCCAGACTGGCCGTGAAGGTGTCAAAGACCGCTTGGTCGCTGCCTTCAGGAGCGTGGGTGACCTGCTCAGGCGTACGAGTTCGCAGCAACTCCATCTGCTCCCTCTGCATCTGCACCCGAGCCTTTTCTTTGGTATCCAACTGCTGCTTGAGATCCACCAACAAGGCTTGTTTTTCAGCGACGGCCTGCTCTTCCGACTCGATGGTGGCCTTGAGCTTCGCAATCTGCTGATCAGCCTTCTGAATCTTATTGCCAATGCCATGCACCTGCGCACCCAACGGCTTAGCATCGTGGATCTCCTGCCGCAACTTTCGTAACGATGTTTGAGCTTCCTCATAGCCGACAACAGTCTGCGGGGCAACGCCTTTGACTTTGGCAGCCAGCTCGAGGGAGGCCACCACCTGCTCCAGCGCCTCCAGCTCCTGCTGCTTACACTGGGCGTCGTCCTTAGTGGCGGCGGCATCAGACTGCGGAGGTGACTGCTGCACGTTCTCAGTCGGCCTGGTCCGAGAAAGCTGCTGCACCTGCTTCCGAAGGGCCGCCAGCTCCTTATCCTTGGCCTCCAGCACCGCCCGAGTATTGCCCCCAGCAGCAGGTGCACGAACACTGGGCGTAGGAGAAGGTAGGTCGCACTTGTAGACACGTCCTTTGGCCCCACCACACAAGAAGCAAGAAACAGCATCTGCATGATTGTGCCAAGGCTCGCCAGTTTTCTCATGTGTGCAGTGCCTGCACACCCATCTCTTGGCCCGTGCTGCCCTGTCTCTTGCCGCAGCACCTTTCGGCGGCGCCATGATGCCCGCACAAAACGAGAGACAAGAGCAGTGACGGCCGTACCGTAGCCAGGCAGCCTGGCCGTGGCGACAAAACTGATGAGGGAGCCCAACCCCTCGGTGTAGGCGGTAAGCTGTCGAGCGCAAGCGCTCTGGCACTGCCGCGGACTAGCGGTCTCCGTGGAAGCCAATACGGGCTCAGCCCGCAAAAGCATTAGCCTTGAGCCAAAATGGCTACGGAAGGAGGAGGAGGGAGGAGGAGGAGGAGGAGGAGGAGGAGGAGGAGGAGGAGGAGGACGAGGAGGAGGAGGAGGAGGAGGACGGCCACGCTGCGGCGCCACTTGTCCACTCGCCAGATGTTCGGGGGCCCACCAGCAGCGTGGGCGAGGCGTCGCCCTCGTCGCCCACGCTCCGGGCGCAGGGTCGCTCAGATGTTGTGGCGCTCCCGCGCGGGCGCGCCGCGCGGTGCTCTCTCGCCGAGATGCCATGACGGCGACCGCGGCAGCGGGGCCGCGCGAGGACGGGCGAGATGCCGACCTCGCCCGACGGCCGCGCAGCCTGGGACTGAGAGAGGCCATGCTGTGACGGCGCGGCGCACGCTTCGCCTTCGCACCGCGCCCCCTTGAGGTCTACCGCTCCCGCTCCCTGCGCGGCTCGCGTGGTGCTCCTCTGGCCGAGTCGTCGGAGGCAGGGCCGCGCGCGAGCGCTCTCCGCTTGCGAGGTGAGAGCGCCTTCCGAGCCAAGCGTGCCACAATGGACTCTCACTTAGCGGGAGGGAGGGTGGGAACAGGCGGGGCTCTCTAAATCGCTGGGGCCATCAAAATTTACTCCTCCTCCTCCTCCTCCTCCTCCTCCTCCTCCTCCTCCTCCTCCTCCCTCCTACTCCTCCTCCTCCTCCTCCTCCTCCTCCTCCTCCTCCTCCTCCTCCTCCCCCTGCTCTTCTTCCTCCTCCTCCTCCTCCTCCTCGTCCTCCTCCTCCTCCTCCTCCTCGTCCTCCCCCTCCTCCTGCTCTTCCTCTTCCTCCTCCTTCGCCTGATCCTCCTCCTCCCCCTGCTGCTCCTCCGCCTCCTCCCCCCCAACATCCTCTCGCCTTCATCCTCCTCCGTCTCATCATACTCCTCCTCCTCCTCCTCCTCCTCCTCCTCCTCCTCCTCTCCTCCTCCTCCTCCGCCTGATCCTCCTCCTCCCCCTGCTTCTCCTCCGCCTCCTCCTCCTCCTCCTCCTCCTCCTCCTCCTTCTCATCTTCCCTCCTCCTCCTCCTCCTCGTCCTCCTCCTCCCTCCTTCTCATCCTTCCTCCTCCTCCTCCTCCTCCTCCGTCTCCTTCTCCTCCGTCTCCTCCTGCTCCCCCTGCTCCTCCTCATCCTCTTCATCCTCCTCCTCCACCTGCTCCTCTTCCTCCTCCTCCCCTTCTTTTTCTTCTTCTTCTTCTTCTTCTTCTTTTTCTTCTTCTTATTCTTAGTCTTATTCCTTCAAACCCACATCCCTCCTGCTGCTCCCGCTGCCGCTCCTGCTCCTCCCTGACGCCAGTTTGTCTCGCCCAAGCTCTCTCTCTCTCTCTTTGCTGCTCCTCGCCACTCTCGTCCTGCTTCTTAAGACGTGGCCAGAAGGAGGATAGCATCGTGTGAGGATCAATCGAGAATATGTGAGATCCGGCGGCTCTGGAGGATGTCTTGAGCGTCGAGGCCTTCTGAGAGCGGTCTGGAACGCCCTGAGAGCGCCCAGGACTTCTCTGGCATGAACTCATTCTCGTCCTGACTCTGTCCGGCTTCTCCCTCTCGCGCACGGCGTTTGCCCCGAATGGAAACCACGATGGACGCTTGCGTCCGCCGTGCTTTCCAGGACGGAGAGGCCAGGAGACCAGGACTCGGGCGCCCCATAAACATCATTTTCAGCGCTTCTTGTTGTCGCTGTCGTCGTCGTCGCCCTCCTCCTTCTCCTCCTCCTCCTCCTCCTCTTTCTCCTCCTCCTCCTCCTTGTTGTCCTCCTCCTCCTCCTCCTCCTCCTCCACGTCCTCCTCCTCCTCCTCCTCCTCCTCCTCCTCCTCCCTCCTCCTCCCTCCTCCTCCTCCTCCCTCCTCCTCCTCCCTCCTCCTCCTCCTCCTCCTCCTCCTCCTCCTCCCCTCCTCCTCCTCCGCCTCCTCCTCTGCACCTGCAGCCTCCTGCTGGTGCCGCTCCTGCTGCGACGGGGCCGGCGCGCGGCGCCTTCGGCCCGTAGTCCCTTCGGAAGATCTCGGGCGCCCAGAAGATCCTCGTGCCCACCTCGGCGCTGAGCCTGGCGGCACGGCGGCGACGACGGTCCCGACTCCATCCCTCCCTGCCTCCCTCCCCCCCTCCCTTCCCCCTCCCTCCTCCCTCCCTCCTCCCTCCTCCCTCCCTCCTCCCTCCTCCCTCCCCCCATCCCTCCCCCCGTCCCTCCTCCCTCCCTGCTCCCTCCTCCCGCCACGGCCGACGGTGACGACGGCTGGGGAGGACGACGAGGGCCTCCCGGGGGCGGACTCCCGAGGCGGCCTCGGCCGAGGTCTGCGGCAGGGCCGCGTCGTGGCGACCCTCGCGGCGGCTGCTGACACCGCATAGATCGTTTCCCCTCGACCGATGGCGAGGCGAAGCGAACGCCGGAGGCGTGCGTGCTCCTCCGGGGGGAGCCCGCCCGCGCCCGTCAGGGCATGGCGTGGGGGGGCCGTGGCCCCAGACACGTGAGCCTCGCGTGGTAAGCACCACTCGGTGCTCCCAGCCGCTAGGAAACACTCGGTGCTCCCAGCCCAGGCCGCTCGTGCTGCTGCTGGGCGGCTTTTCGATCGCCGGATTGGTCCACGCGGGCCCATGCAGGGGGCCACCGGCGGCGTTCCACCTTGCACGCCAGCGGTGGAACCGCCGCTGCGTCGACACGACGCGAGCCTGCCGTAGTTGGGCAAGGCTCTCGGGCGAATTGTGTGCGCGTGGGATATATGTGTATTTATATATATATATATATATATATATATATATATGTATATATGAGCAGGGACCGACCGTCCCAGCATTCCTATAGTCCTACCACGAACTGTTTTTTGAACCCCAGAATTTTCTAAGAACCAAAACAATGTGCTTGAAACATGCCCCCGATGTGTTGGAACAACACGGACTCCGCCAGACATGTTCTAAGGACATGTCGTGGATACCCCAAAAGGTTCTTAGGACATTCTTTGGTAGGACTATAGGCGAGCCAGGACGCTCCGCCACTGCTTGATTTGTTTTTATTATTAGTATTATTATTACTACTATTATTCGTAGTATTATTATTACGACTATTCTTATTACTATTATCGTTATTCTTCTTCTTGTTATATCTATCAGTCTTGGACATAAGTGTACAGGTGTGTGTGTGTGTACACGTGAGACGTTACAAAAAGGGCCTTGCCTCCGAAGATGGAAAGCACTGCCGTGCTTCTCCACGGCGGCAGGGCGGCGGACGAGCAACACACATACGAGGCCGCCTCCGCCCGCGGAGAGCCGGCGGAAGAGGCCGCCAGACGGCGGAGGGAGCAAAGGCCGCGCCACCACGAGGCCACAAAGACGTTTTCGGTTTAGCTCCAGGGCTTCCGAGATCGCCCTATCACGAAAACACACCTCAGGAGGAGGAGGAGGAGGAGGAGGAGGAGGAGGAAAGGAGGAGGAGGAGGAGGAGGAGAGGGAGCAGGAGGAGGAGGAGGAGGGGGAGGAGCAAGAGGAGGAGGAGGAGGAGGAGGAGGAGAGGAGGAGGAGGGGCGAGGATCTCTCTCTCTCTCTTTCTCTCCCGCTCTCTCGCCCTCGCCGCCCTCGAGGCGCCGAGGGCGAGACGGCTCTCTCCGTGCCCCTCTGATTCTCTCTCTCTCTCTCCTCCTCCTCCTCCTCCTCCTCCTCCTCCTCCTCCTCCTCCTCCTCCTCCTCCTCCTCCCCCTCCTCTCCTCCCTCCTCCTCTCCTCCTCGTCCTCCTCCTCCCTCCTCCTCCTCGTCCCTTCCTCCTCCTCCTCCTCCTCCTCCTCCTCCTCCTCTCCTCCTCCTCCTCGTCCTCTTCCTCCTCCTCGTCCTCCTCCTCCTCCTCCTCCTTTCCTCCTCCTCCTCGGAACTCTGGGACGGTGCCTGCCCTCGCTCGCCCGGCCCGCCCCCCGCGTTGCCCTCGGGGGGGGGGGGGGGGCTTCTCTCGGCCACGGGCGCCCCGCGCGGAGCGGGAAGGGAGGGACGGGGGGAAGAGCGAGGGAGGAGGAGGAGGAGGAGGAGGAGGAGGAGGAGGAGGAGGAGGAGGAGGAGGAGGAGGAGGAGGAGGGGGAGGAGGCGGAGGAGGAGGGCGGGCGACCCATTGGACTGTGACCCATTGGGGTGGCTCCCGCGTAGACGCGGCGCTCCTCCCTTCTGCGAGCGCCCGCGACCTCTGGGCCCATCTGGGTCGTCGCAGCCAGGAAGGCCCCGCAGGTAGCGCCTGTAGGCGCTGCCGTTGGGGAACGCGGGTGCCTCTAGGCAGGGAGGGCCGATAGGCGCGCCTGTAGGCGAGGAGGTCGGAGGAAACCCAGGATGCATCGGGGATGCTGCAGTGCACCCCTCGCGTCCCAGCGCCCCTGCTCGCGGGCCCCTGCAAGCCTGCCTTCCACATGCAGAGAGGCGCCTCCCCGGAAAGACCGGCGCAGCCGGGCCTCCCATTCTGGAACGCGGTCCTTCCTTACAAGGTTCGGGAGCCTTCCCCGCAGGCGCAGGAAGCGTCTCGGAAGGCCAGAGGGGCCTCTGAGGAGCCCCGCCGCCCTCTGAGAAGGCCTCCCCCTTCTCGCTTCCCCGCCTCGCTCGCCGCCGCTGCGATCACACGGCTCCACGACGTGTCCGGGGAGATCCCCCCTTCGAGGAAGGACCGCCCCCCCTCGAGAGGAGGTAAAGGGAGAGGAGCTGCAGAAGAACAAGGGAGGGAAGCAGAGACGGAAGGCCTGTGGCCCTTAGTGGGCCCTGGAGACGACAAGGCCGTTTTTTTACCAGTTCCGTTTTGCCGTTTTTTGGCCAGTTCCGACGCCGTTTTTTTACCGGTTGGGTCGCCGTTCTTTTACGGGTTCCCGCTCCGGTTCCAATCCTGGAGCCGTTTTTGCTGCCGTTTCCGGTCGCCGTTTTTTTGCCGTTTCCATGTTCAAGGGGCACTTTTTCGGAAACGGTGAAAAAACGGTCCTGCCGTTTGCGGGACCACTAAGCTCTGGCCTACCCCATGGCACACGATCCTCCTCGAACCAGGACCAAGCACCAAGCACGCCGAGAGCCACTCGCATGCATTACAGTAGGGGCTCCACCACAAGAAACCTTCCACAAGTACATAACCCAACCCTGAGACCCAAGGACGTCCATGGATGCTTGGTGTGGGAGCGTCACGCTCTCCACAGCAAAGTCGTCGAAACACACGAAACCCAGGTCACCCTGGAGGCAAGCAGCATGCTTCTTGGCATTGGTCCCCACTGCAGGCGAGCCAGCATGGTCATGCAGCCGCAAGAGCAGAACGTGCTCACAAGGAGGGCGAGGACGAGGACGAAGGAGAGCGAGCGGGCAGCGTGACTGCAAAATTCGTCTGTCACGCGCCCCCGCCGCGAGAAGACCTGACCGACTCCAGGAATAATAAAAGCGCATATTGGAACACTAGGCACTAGGAGAAGAGGGAGGGGAGGAGAGGGCGAGAGGAAAGAATGGTGGAAACACTGGGCTGCAACTCGGGGATGACGGGTGCCCCGATAAAACGTCACAGACAGAGGCCATGGTGTGAAACGTTGCGAGGAGCGCCACGCAAACTGCACGCCCATGACAGCGCGATGCCCCCCTGGAAAAAAAAGCCTCCACTGCATCCAGAAAAAGTAGAGGAAAGAGAACTATGCACATACACCGATTCTGGCCAGGCCCATCCTGAGCCCAGGATCGGTGCATACGCCCTCTACCTTGGCCAGGAAGGTATATGCACCGATCCTGGGTCAAGGATGGGCCTTGCGAGGATCGGTGCATGTGTATAGTTCTCTTCGCCCGAAAAAGCAGACCACACAACAACCAGAGCCGCAGAGCATAGGCGCGCTACGAGGCTGCGAATGACAGCGAGCACGCGGTCGGGAAGTGTTTGCTTACGCGTGTCGCGGCGGCGGTCCCCCGGCGACACGCTGTGCCCTGCGAGCGCACAGCGTGTCGCTCCGCTCCGCGGGGCGGGAGGCTCGGAAAAGGGCACTGGGATGTGGATAGCGTGTCGCCCCGAAGCATGGTGGGCCAGAACCGTCAGAGCGACACGCTGAGCCAACGTCCCCGACCGTGTCACAACAACAGATGGCGCGCAGCAAAAACGGGCAGGAGAAAACGGGGGCGGCGGGTGCGAACGACCGAGGTGCATCATTTCCCACTATGCGCGACGCGTGGTCATCTTCGCTCCCTCGAGGGGCAGCCAGGAGGGGCAACTCTCTGGCCCACTTCGCGTTACGTTGAAGCGCGATTCTCTTCGCGCCCCTGGGGGGAATCTACCGCCCTCCCGAGCAACAAACTGGATAAAAGAGGCATGGGGTCATGTAGTATTTTTCGGATCGCTGCGAGGTCGCGTGGAGGCCATGTGGTCTGCGCCCCGCCTGCTCCCTTCCAACGTTGGCGCGGGTGACCGCCGAGCCCAATTCCTCGGTCCAATGTTGGTCGGAGGCCAGGGGCGGGGCGGGCAGGACCGAATCTTCCCATCCATTTTTTTTTCGGGAGGGCTGTGGGCGACCGGCCCATGCTGCGGCAAGAGCGCTCGCCAGACGCGAAGTGGCGGCCCAAGGCCACACGACCGAACTGCCAACACGCGTACGCCGGGAGCGGCCAAGAGGGGGGTGTCCAAGAGGGGGGGTGCAAATCATGACCGGCGGCATGTGCGCGGCCCAGCGGGGGGGCCAGGGACGTAATGAAATGAGAAGAGGCGCCATGAAATCTGGGAAAATATCATGGCCCCCGCCATGATATCCACCCCCCCCTAGTCATCACCCCCCTCTTTTCCGCCCCCGAGCGTAGGAGGCCTCAACTGTGGTGCCGTGCCGGGCAGCTTAGGAGGCCGTGTGGGCCGGAGGCGTCCTCTGGACGTGCTGCATGTACACGCCACAGACGCGCCGCCCGCAGAGCCCACACGCACATGCGCCACCATCGACAACGCCTGGGCCAACGATCGCTGCCCCGCGACTGCCCACCAGCAACGCAAGCTCACGGAGGAGGAGCGAAGGGAATAATAATGAGTAGAAGAAGAATAATCATAATCATAATAATAATAATAAGAATAATAATCATAATAACAATAATAATAATAACAATAATAACAATAATAATAATACTAATAATAATAATGATAATAATAATAATAATAATTAAAATCATAATAAAACATGGCATCAACATAGACTTCTGGCGCTCCGCGAGGATTTCTTGGATCTGCCCCGGACCCCCCTCCCTGGCGCGCGGAGCGCGCCAAGGGCGGCGCCGCAGGCGCCGTCTGGGGGGCCCGGCGCGGATCCAAGAACTCCGCGCGGAGCGCCAAAAGTTTCTGCTGATGCAGTTTTTGTTTTTTCGAGGGAAGGAGGAGGAGGAACGAGGGAGAGGAGGAGGAGGAGGAGAAGGAGGATGAGGAGGAGGAGGAGGAGGAGGAGGAGGAGGAGGAGGAGGGGGAGGAGGGGGAGGAGGAGGAGAAACGAGGGGAAGGCGGAGGAGGAGGCGGAGGAGGAGGAGGAGGAGGCGGAGGAGGAGGAGGAGGAGGAGGAGGAGGAGGAGGAGGAGGAGGAGGAGGAGGAAGGAAGACACGGGGGCCTTCCGCCCAAACGGGGGGGGCGGGGCGCCGACCACCCGCATGCGCACGTGCACGGCAATGCCCTCGCGGGGAGCCCAGCCCCTCGGGCCCCAGCGAGCGGCCTCGATCCTCCGCCTGCCCGCCACGAGGCCGCGCGGTGGGGCGCGCCCGCCACTCGCCACTCGGCTTCGCCCCCGCTCCGGCAGGCGAGGGGCAGCGGCGGAAGGCAGACACACACACACACACACACACGTGGTGTGGAGATCTCCGCGTCGGGTGCCGTCTCCCGGCTTTCTGTCGGCCCAAGGTGGGCCCCAGCAGAGCCAGGGAGAAATCCCAAGAGGGGACACCAGAGGGTCCACAGAGGACCCCAAGTGGGCCCTGGAAGCGGCAGGGCCGTGTCTGTTACCCGCTTCGTTTTGCCGCTTTTGTTGCCGGTTCCGACGCCGTTTTCATTGACGGTCCCATCGTTGCTTTTGCTCTTCATTCCTGCTCGGGCTCCAATCCCGGAACCGTTTCTGTTGCCGCTTCCGGTCGCCGTGTTTTTGCTGTCTCCGTTTTCACTTGACGCTTTTCCCGGAAACGGTAAAGAACCGACCCTGCCGTTTGTGGGGCCCACTAAGCGCCCGCCTGGTAGGGCCCGAGGGTTCCAGGTTCTTTTTGCTGTGGACCACTGCCAGCCAAGCTTCCGAAGAGGTTGCCAGACAGGGGGAAAATGCACAGACCAGACGTCCATGAAGGTATCTGCAGTGCTGCCCCGATCGAGGCACTTCTTCTATGGAGGCTTCCCTTGCCCCTGCCTCCCTAGCGCCTCACAATGATGTGCCGCGAGAAAAACAGGGCTAGGATCGGGATAAATCGCTCCAGAGCGTTCCGGAGCGCTCTCAGAGCGTTCCGGAACGCTCTGGAGCGGACGCGGCGCCCAATACATCCTCCAAACCCGCCGAATCTCAGAGACTTCGAGGTATCCCGATCCGATTTGGTCCCGATCTTCGCGTCGTTTGAGCGAGGGCCGCTGGGCCCCGCAGAGCGACCTGGCGCTCCATGCCCAACTCGCGGGGGCGAGGCACCGCCAGCGAGACGCCCTGGGGCTGCCACGCCTCCGGCGGCGGCGGGCGCCGAGACCGGGCTCTCTCGGGGTGCCCCCGCGGCGTGCCCCGATAGGGGGGCCCTGCGGAGGCGGCCGCGGCCTCCTCGGAGGGGCCCGGCAGCTTCCAGGAGGCCTGCTTTGAACAGGGGGAAAACAAACCTACCTCGCTTTTGACCACCCTCGCTTCCAAGAGATACCAAACGACGCCAAATTGCAGCCTGTACTGGTCAGGCCGCTTGACGAGGAGGCGCGTGATATGGCTTGGTTTTGCCTGGAAGCGAAAGCGGGGTAGGTCATTCACGCTCTGATTGAAGGGGCCCTGGGACTCACACACATAAATGCACACAAATAAAAACATTCCCTATCTTATCCTATATGTTCTGGGTTTCTGTCTTCCCCCCCCGCCTCCCCTATTTTCCCATATGTTCTGGGGGATCGATGATAAATTGTGTCTGTGTGTTTCTTCCTCTCCGGATTCTTTTTGGGGGAAGCCAAGCAGTACCGACACCGCTTTTCCACCCGACCTCTCCCTGGGGGTGCGTTCTGACCCGAATCTCGAGGCGAATCCAGCGGTGGCGACGAGGGAGGGCCTCCCCGGAGGCCCCAAAAAGGGGAACAACGGGGCGAGGGGCAGCGGTACGGGCACCTTGTTCGCCTCTGAGTATCTGAAACCTTCGAGGCTTCTTGGAAGGGCCTGGAGGCTGCCAAGAAGCCTTCTTTGAAGCCCTCGAGCCATACGAATGTGGGATGACGATGAAGAAAAAAAAGGAGGGGAGAACGATTAAACAAACAGTTTCCCACACCGGGGGGGGGAACGCTCAGAAGCAGGGCTCGCCTGTGCGGTGTTTCGTCGCCGGGGGGGGGGGCGCGCGCCCGAGGACGGCGGGGGGGGGACGATTGAAAAAATAGTTTCCCAGCCCGGGGCCAGTTTTTCGGGGCCAGTTTTTTCTGATCATCATCCCGGGCGCCGCCGCGTGAACACGACCCCCGGTCATTTATTAATCGTCATCCTCCATTACGAGAGCGCCATCCCTCTTGGCAGTCCCCCCGCCTTCTCTCGGGGTGCCGCCGCCCTCGTCGCGCCGCCGCTTTTTGTTGTGCGCGCGTGCCACGGCAGCTTCTCCACAGCAGGGCGCAAGCACACACCTACCTCGCTTTTTGACCACCCTCGCCTCCAAGAGATACCAAGCGGCGCCAGACTACGGCCTGCGCTGGTCGGGCCGCTTGCTTGACCAGGAGGCGCGTGGTATGCCTTGGTTTTGCCTGGGAGCGAAAGCGGGGTGGGTCATTCGCGCTCCGGCATAGGGCATGTGCCTGTTCCGGCGGCACGCCTGCAGAGGTCTCCCAACTGGGTTGCGAGTGCAGTCGGCCAGTACCATGGGGATGCGCGAGCAGGATGCAAGGGCCTTGGATGCCCATTCCGAAGCCTCTCGGGCGGGGCGCGGCCGAC